CCAGGGGGCAGGGCTGGCTGGCGTGTGGTGCTGGGGGATTGAACCGCGGTCCCTGATGCCTTGCCAAGCTTGTTCCAAGTAGGTGCTTTAGACCACTGAGCCATCTCTCCAGCCCCGATTTGCTACCTTTTAATGTAGAATGTTATTTGCTTTGCTTTTCTCCTTTTAGTTAAATCAGCACCTGGCAAAATTAAGATGAAATGACCTATTTTTTCTTTTTTCTTAAATGTATTTTAGTACAGGGTCTACAGGATCTCATTACATAGATTGGACTCTTAATGATTCTCCTGTTTTCAGCCTCCCAAGCACTGGATTACAGGCCTGTGCCACCACCATGGTCTCAAGCTACCATGCCCAGTCTCAGTTGCCATCTCAGTGTGCCCCTGGGAGCAGGGCCACCACTGCATGTTAGGGATAGAATCCCAGCTGGCTGCTGGGCTCTGTCTAAGCAGGTGCTTTATTCCACTGAGCTACCTGGCTGGCCTGAAATGACCCATTTTGAAACAGTACGCTTTTCAGCATTAGATGAAAACTCAGAACTCTGCATTGTACTTCTTTGACTGTCACCATGGAACATAACAGCATTTTAATGCCTCAGTCTTTTTCCCTCATAGATGTTTACATACATGAATAAACATTTATATGCTAACAATGGGATAAGTTGGTTGTAGTCTCCCTAATTAGTATATCTCCTTTGTAAAAAATTAGTGACTAGCTTTAGGTGAAAACTGGTTTCAAAAGCAGCAGGACACTCATCTATTTTTTTTTTTCCCCCAAAGCAGTGCTAACAGAGAGCAAAGGGATACCTTATAGGAGATACTTGTAGAAGTTGGAACCTGTACTTGTAAATATAGACAATAACACTAGCTGAGAAGTTTGAAATAAGATTTCAGAGAGCATTCATAGTTATAATTGAAGAAATCTTAATCTTTATTTCTATTAGCATGGCATTTGAATATGTTCAGACAACAAATTCATATTGAACCTTTATGTACTAGTTCATGAGAATACTTTTTTTTTTTTTGTTTTTGAGACAGGATCTTGCTATGTAGTTCAAGCTGGCTTTGAACTCAGCGATCCTTCAGCCTCCCAAGTGCTGGGACTATAGGTGTGGGCCACCCACCACACCTGGCAAAAAAATACTTAGGTGTTGATTTTGCTGCTTGTCGTTGTATTCTGCAAGCACTTAACATTACACTCGTGTTTTTCATTTTGTTTTACGTATATGTGAATACTATTTTAGCTGTCTAATTTATATTAATTTAGTAACATTTAAGATATCAGTGGATATTTTATGAGGAGGAATATGACTGCCCTCTACTGTTTGGTTTGGGAACATTAACCATTTTTGTGCTGTTAATACATTTTTTGAACTAGGTTATATAGAAGGTGTTTACATTAAGTTGGTTTTTAGTACCTGTTTTGAATTCTAGTCTGTTGCATTGTTGTCTTCAGTGATTTTTTTTTTTTTGTGATGAAATTCTTGAATTTATAATTTTCATTATTCAGTGTTTGCTACAGAAGACCTCTCTTTAACTTTGTCTAACTATACAGTTTAAATGCCATTTGGAATAGGCAAGGCATAGAAAAACTATTCATTAGCACCAGAAGTAGAGTTTGAACCTACTTATGCTTTAGAAATAGATGAGTTGGTTATATTTGTGCCTCCACTTTTTCTTCTGGTTAAGAGAAAATAAGTACTTGACTAGCTTTGGTAGGCTTATGGTTCCCAAAGTTTATTCAGAAGCACCAGGGTTTTTTTTTTTTCCTTTTTTTTTTTTCTACTAAAGAAATTTTTTTATAGCATTCCAAGCCACAGAATGACTCTCCCTCTGGCTAATCCCACAGTAGTTTGGGATGCCTCATGTCTTTCAGGATCCTGAGAAGACAATTTGAGTAACTGATTAGATTAGCTTCATAGGTCTATTGTTACTATCTACATAAGAGCTTTAGAAAATTTTCTGTAAGTTTAAATTTTTAAAAATTACAGTAAAAGAAACATTACCATTATCCCCCTCAAAATATTTTCATTCCATTATTCTTGGTAATATGTGTTTTAAGGTTTTTTTAAAAACTTGAACATGTATTGTATCTTTTGATCATTTTTTTTGATTTTTCTCCCTTTGTTTTTTGAGACAGGGTCTCACTGTGTAGTTCAGGCTGGTTCTTGAACTCATAGTGAATCCTCCTGCCTCAGCTTCCACAATGCTGGAATTACAGGTGTGTACCATCACACCTGGTTTGATTCCCTCCCTTAATGTTCAAAAATAGTGGGATATTTTCAATTTGGGATTTGTTTTATGTATGCAAAGTATTTTAACCATATTCTTGTCTTTTGAAGTTAAAGAGGAAAAAGCAAGTTGCTCCAGAAAAGCCTGTAAAGAAGCAGAAGACTGGTGAGACTTCAAGGGCTTTGTCATCTTCTAAGCAGAGCAGCAGCAGCAGAGATGATAACATGTTTCAGGTAAAGTTCCTTATTTCTTTAGATGCAGAGGAGTTAATTTTTTTTGGTCTGAACAATGTTAAAAGTACCTCGTTCTGATTTTGTATAACAGTCTTTTATGTGTGTTTTATAATTTTTTTTTTTTTTTTTGCGGTACCAGAGATCAAACTCAGGACCTTGTGCTTGTTGGGCAGACACTTAAGGCGCTGAGCTATCTCCCCAGGTCTATAATCCTCTTGACTAAGGATATTAATTAAAATACAAGTTAAAATTAATTTATACAATGTTAGATTGTTAATGTCTAGAGTATATACAGTTTTACTATATTTTAATAATGCAAAAAATGTAAAACTAAATATTAGAGAAATTAAACTGATGAGGAACTGCACATTAGGAAGCAGCTTTGGTTTTTTTTTTTGAATTTTTGAATTTATTTTTTTAAACTCTATCATATCTTTATTATATTTATTCTATTATTTTATTGAGAAATAACAATGAGACACTTTCCAGGCTGATTCATAGGACATTTTCAATAATTAATACATTGCACATTGTTACCTTCTCAGTGGTCATTGGAAGCAGCTTTGAGAAAATGCTGTTAAGTATTAGGCTGTGGAGTGGGTAGGATAGTAATTACAGAAGTAACAATATGACGTGGCCAATTTTGGACTGATGAAAAGGCCAATTTTGGACTGAGTTGAATAGGTAAAGTGAAGAAAAATATATTGGAAGGATTTGATGTATTGAGTTGGAGAGGACTACTACAGTTTCTTTGATTTCTTACTGATTTTTAGGGAGACTTGAGTGCCGGGATTACAGGTGTGTGTCACCACAGCCCCTGGCTGGGATCCCTGATTAATTAATTATTTGGTGGAACCAGGGATTGAACTCAGGCCCTTGCGCTTGCCAGGGAAGCGCTTAGTCTACTGAGCCATCTTCCCAGCCCCCTGGGGTCCCTAATTTAGGGAAAGAATGAAATGTAAAATCTGTAAGAGCAATGTCATAGATTTCCTATTACGTAGCAGAATGGAGAACTGCTTTCGATTATCTTAACTTCATATTTGTGTTTGCTGGGCAACTATTTTGGGCTTTTCTCACTTTGGTTCACTGTATGCCTACTTTTACTTGTGTAATAAGAGTGGCTTTTTAATAATTTTCTTGAATTTTAAGAGGCAAGGATTCAAATTCTAGAGATTCTGTTCAGTGATAGTTTTGGGAAAACAAGGTATATTTTTAGGGAGGTAAGTTTTTTTTTTCAGTACAAAACAACTAATGATCAGGAGTGTCAGTTCTTTTCCCCTTCTGGTATTAAGGATTGAACCTAACTATAAATGTCCTCATGTATAATTAGGTATATCTCCAATTCTTAGAAAGACAGGGTTTTGCTGAGTTGTCCAGGTTGAATTTGAGCTTTGTTTCTTAAAAATCTTCATTTGGAAAGGTTGCTAAACATTCCAAGGCTATTATATACTTTATATGAAGTCTGGCTCTAGGAGATACCATGGGCATTTTTTATTTTTTTATTTTTGCAGAACTGGGGATTGAACTCAGGCACTTGTGCTTGCCAGGCAAGCACGTATTCTACTGAGCCATCTCTGGCCCCCCATGGGCATTATTTTTAAAATAACTTTCACAGACTTACTAGTGTAGGCAATCTAAGAGATAGGACATTTCATTGCTTTTCCTTAAAATGGAAATTTTGGCCCCAGGAAAATATTTTAGTGGTTATAATACATTTTAATCAGCTTAATTAAGAGTACCTTATATTACATTGATTAATATTAAATGAAGCCTTCATTTTTATTAGTAAATGATGGCTTACTGATAGAAGATGAAGTTTTTCAGAGGGAAAACACTGATTCTACTGTATTTTACAAGGTTTTTAAAAAGATACATTTATGTATTTTTCATATATTGGATGCTTTGAAGACCATTCTTACAGAGCAGAATGTTTTTGTATACTGCTATATCACAAAATATGAGAATCTTTTAAGATCCAAGATATCACAGATTACTTACTCAAAACAAACAGATCTAAAATCCAAATTAAAGTGAAGTATTGTAGCTGTGAGACAGGGTTTTTCTTCCCCCAGTAGTGCAGATTGAATTCAGCATCTCACATGTGCTGGAAAAGCATGCTACCACTGAACTATATCAGCAGCTCCTTGGTATTTTATTTTATTTTTTTAAGTTTTTTTTTTGTGTGCATGTGTGTGTGTGCACAGTCTTACTACCCAGCTCATACTCAAAGTAGTGATCCTCCTGATTTCTGCTTCCCTAGTGCTGGGATTATAAGTGTGCACCACCACACCCGGTTTTGGTGGATCAAACCTGGGTCTTTGTACTTGGCAGTCAGGCACTTAGACCACTGCTCTATGTTGCTGGCTCCCCCTTTTTTTTGTTTTTCTTTCTGGTACCTGGGTTTGAACTCAGGACTTCGTGCTTGCGGGGGAGACAATTATGCCACTGAGCTATTTCCCTGGCCTCTAGCTCCTTGGTATTTTGGAACAAGGTCTCTGTGCAGTTTGGGCTGGGCTTGAACTCACTGTGTTGCTCAGGCTGGCCTCACACTTAGAGCAGCCCTCTTGCCTCAGTCTCCAAAATGCTGGATAGAACCATTATCAAATTGTTATCTGTGTAGTGAGATTTCAGATGACTTTAATTTTATTATACTTAAATTTTTTTGAAATGTGTTAAATTATTTTGAAAACTTCTCTGTGTATAAAGAAAATCCAGATAATATCTCGCTGGCCCTTCAGTTGCATCCTTTGACTTCCTTTTCTTTTTAAAACTATCTGACTCAAGTTTCCAACAGGGAGCTTTCAGAAATTTTATGTAAACTGTTCTTTTTCTTTCTCCTTTCTGCTTGTTTATTTTCCTTATCCTCAGAATCTGAAGACCCTACCAGATTTCTTCTTGTCTTTGTTTTTTTTTTTTTTTTTCTGGATGAGCTCTCATTTCCACTTAATAATTTCTCCTTGTGTTTTTCTAGTTCTTTCTTCCAGTTGTCATTCAACTGTGTAGAAAGAAAAATTTTAATCCCAGTACTAGGGTGGCAGAAAACAGGAGGATCACTACGAGTCCAGCTGTGTAGTAAGACCCTACACACACACACACACGCACCCTCCAAAAAAAGATGTAACTGAGAAAGAAAAGGATGTTAAAGGACCAAAAAAGAATAATTTAATTTAATTCTGTGTATAAAGAAAATCTGAGATGATATTTGTGATAGTAAAGACAACCTGGAGAACTGTTAGAATTATTTAGTAAAATCAGAATGGTTGGAGCAGGGGACTTTTACCTATCATTTCCTTCAGAGTTAGGTGTAAAGGATCAGTGATACTGCATAAATTGATTTGATAATTTATGATGAAATGTTACTTTTTGAAAATGATTATTACTGACTCAAGTGTTTTTCTTTTTCAAATGTTTTTTTTTTTAACATTTATTTATTTATTTTGTGGGGGGGGCAGCTCAGCCCACCAGGGGGCGGGGCTGGCTGGCTTGTGGTGCTGGAGGATTGAACCGCGGTCCCTGTGCTTTGCTAAGCTTGTTCTATGTAAGTGCTTTAGACCACTGAGCCATCTCACCAGCCCTCAAATGTTTGTAATTCAGTTGAAAGTGTGTATGACTTTTAGAAGTCTGAAGTTAATGTGCTTTTGTTTGAAATGTGCTTTTGTGTATTTGAAAGGGGATTATTTTTAGTTATTAAGTTCTCTGAGGGGATCAAGGAATCAAAAAAAAATTTTTAAAGAATCATACTGTGGTCTTACTGAATGTTCCATTTGGCACCAGGGGGAAAGGGAACAGTTGGGTGGCCTACATGAATCCAATAGTAATGGCCAGGTCAAGAGGTCCAATCCAGCATTTCAGGGCCAACCATCCAGGATTATCTGAATTGACACAGCTCTACCTGGGAAGCAGTGAAAGAGCATCTAGAAAAAAAAAAGCCTTCTAAGACTGCCTGAATTTGAAGAAAAGTTGAATGACAATTGGAAGAAAGAAAAACACAGGGAGAAATTATTAAGTGGAAATGAGAGCTCATCCAAAAAACAAAAACAAACAACAACAACAAAAAAAACCAGAAGAAAGAAAAGCAATCTGGTAGGTTCTCCAGATTCTGAGAATGAGGAAAAGAAACAAGCAGAGAGGAGAAAGAAAAAGAACAGTTTACATAAAATTTTTGAAAGCTCCCTGTTGGAAACTTGAGTCAGATTTTTTTTTTTTTTTTTTTTTGAGTCAGATAGTTTTAAAAAGAAAAGGAAGTCAAAGGATGCAACTGAAGGGCCAATGAGATAGCTGAGTGGACGAAACGTCTGCTTTGGCAAGTGCAGGGATCGGGGTTTGATCCCTGGTCCTGCATGCCGCGCCGGCGGTGATGGAGTCCAGGCCTGGTGGCACACGCCTATCATCTCAGCAGTAGGTAGAAAACAGGAGGATCACTGCAAGTCCAGCTGCATAGTAAGACCCTGTGCACACACGCGCACGCACACACACACTATACACACACACCCTAAAAAAAAGATGCAACTGAGGAAAGGATGTTAAAGGATTTACCAAAAACGAATGATGTATACTGAAGATAAACAACCTTAATCTAAGTCCTTGTCAGAATCACATTATACTGAAGAGGTATGAGCAAAAGAGAAAAGCAGTGAAGAGTAAGAGAAAGCAACAGAAAAAACAAAAAAGAAAAGCCTAAGAAACACAGTAAAAGAAAAAGAAGGCTGCTAGTTAAAGTCCTGAGTCACCATACCATTAACAAAAACCAGGACTAACCTATGAAGAAAGGGCATTGTTTAAGGAAATTTCAATTATGAAAATTATATTTACTAAAATGCTTGAATTTTTTGTTTTTAGACTTGTTATAGGCACTCCAGTGATTCTGTGTGAAAGAGCCATAATTGTTACCTGCTGCTTGAACTTCTTTTTCTCCTCTAGTGTGTGATAACTTGGGAAGATAACACACTGCAGTCATCTTTGTGCTTAAAATATTTGGGAAGTAAGCTAATATTTTGCCT